CAGCGATGGCAACTTAAATAGTACTTAAAAACTAAACAATACAAATTGTTTTAAAACAGAACCAAAGTGCAATTCAATAACCTGACGTAATAACGTTTTCAGAAACAGTGTATAACACTGTGTTGTACATACGTATGATAAAGTGTTCGTTATACAGGGGTAGTATGATTTGTGGATATTGTTTCTTTTTAACAATATCCCACCGCTGCCACCAATGTCAAGATTCTTTTAATCAACAACATAATTAAACCCCTGATACACTCCATTCAGTGAAGGAAATGTCTCTCTGATGAAATGAACTGCACATGATGGAAGTGGAACTCTGACATCCTTGCCTAAATATCCCCAGCACCACCGGACAAGTTGCCTGTAGGCAACATACCTGTATCTCCTGCAAGGAAAATAAATTGAATGTACAAATTCTGTCTACTGCACAGTTTATTTCAACCTAATGAAATGCCTATACTATATTGTGCCTAATATAATGATGTTAGTACACAATTACAAATGTAATGTTATTGGTAAGGCCCTCAAAAAATACTGCGGTTCTAGTTGTCCAACTGTACTTATATTTATGTGTCAACCATTTTCAGTTCACAAAGTTCAGAAATTTTTAGCAAAACATAATGGTAAGTGGTTTGTCATTCATTAAACAAATTATGCACACCTACCAGTGTAACACGAACCACGGTATATTTTAGCCAAATAAAATAAATCACTATTAAACTATTTTTGCTTTACACCAGACCAATATGTGTGACTTTTAATACTTACTCTGAGGATTCTGGAATAGTTCCATGGTACGGTCTATACACATGATAAGCTGTTAGTAATACATACTTGTCCAGACACACTGGCTTAAATCCAGGATGTCCTGTGATGCATGCTGTATTTGGAACTTCATCACAGACAGCTTTCACCTGCATTATTTCATAGCAGCATCTACATTCCTCAACAGAGGGCATGACATGGCATCTGTAACACTGACACCTAAATTATATAAACAACATATACTTGAAGCTCAGCAAAAATTAAAATTTACTATCTTTACCTTCTAAAAAATGTAAGAAAAACATAATTAACGTATTAGAACTATCAATGGTAAGTTGTCAAGATGTTGACATTGATTAATTTTGCATATTTATTCCTGACACTTGAAAATACAGGTCTCCATCTCAATAACCATTAGGCCTTATCTCCATGATATAGCACTATCCCCAAAGTCCCAAATAAAAAAAAGAACATCACAAATTCTAACATTCTTTTGTGGTTGTCATGATCTGCCTAATATAATGCTGGATGTTCAATTTGGCTAATTAGTAAATATCTTGCTTAAACTCGACCTTATAATTTATAATTACACGCATCACACAAAAAGGCTCCCATGCATACAATTTAATCATAAATTGCAATTAACTATTAGGGCAATAATATGAAGTGTGGGTGTTGTGTCGACGCTGTACTTTCGCCGATCGTATTATACTGACTTGCAATTTAATATAATGTAAACAGATACAGAAAATGAAATTAAACTTAGTGGGCTATGCATGTCTGAGTTCTGTGATTGAACGTAATCGGAACATTTCGTTCTGGGACTTAAACTATTACGAAATACAAGTTAATAATTATTCAAAATATGCGGAACTCCGAAAGTTAATGTTATCAAAACCAACTGATTCGACAACTTACCACTCGGTAGTATTCAGGCGATCGACCAAAGCATCATCGTTTTCTTCAGCAGAATCAATGTGACTGTTGCCGTTAAATTCGGGCTCAAATTGGTAGGGCCGTATTCCTCCATCAAGTGATGAACCCTCGACATCGAAGTCAGAAGACTCGTAATTCAGCTCAAGCTCGCAATCACGGCTCTGCGACGACGCATCACTATGAGTTGGCGACGCCATTATTCCTTATGGTTATGTTTGGGTAACACTTGTGACGTCACAGATTTGACGCCCATAAATGACGCGGAGTTCCTGACAGACAAATGAGCATCGACGCACCGGTAAAAATGCTAACATTGATCGCCCATAACAAAGCTCATGGTGCGTGAATTTTGATGAAATTTTCGGTATTGTCACTAATTTATTTATTTAAATGTAATATATTTGACGAATTTATCGTTCAGTGTACACTTTAAACCCAAAATGTGATAGTTAAATAATAACACATGCTTGTGAGGGTAGTATCACGATTTGTTTCCTGCCCAAGGGATGGTGGTCATGACCATAATATTGATGATGCCAGAGCCGAAGGCGAGGGCATCATCAATATTATGGTTATGACCAACAGCCCAAGGGCAGATAACAAATCGTGATATTGCCCGAATAACCATGTGTTATTTATTTATCACATCGAACAGACATCCACCACCAGGACAATCACATCTACCATACATCACTCACACCCGCTCTCCCATAAAATAACAATACTTATATTTGAAGTATGCAGTATTTTATTTTCTCTATTTCACATTTTTACTCAATAACATACATACATTATTTGCTAAAAAATACACTCAGTAAATGTTATTTTCAGCCACGTATACTCTTTTTAGTAACCGTGATACAGCAGTGTGAATCACTCAAATTATCGAGAATAACATTTTTGAAATTCTCAAACGCAAGTTATTTGATCACTCTACAGATAAACATGTCAGAGTGCCGTGGAAGTGACTGAAATCACTTTCTCACGAACGTAACACACCTATTCACAAGCCAACACGGCTTTAGAGTGTTTTCGGTTAGCATCGGCGTGGAACGCGTAGAAATGCTCACAGCGTAGAACGCGCTGCAGCGACCCCGGCTGCGACGTTTCAGTGGCGGCTTTGCCGTACATTTTTACTTCATATAAAGAACACCATAACCATCAAAACAGAGTATCTTACTTAATATTCATTCTGGCACGTTCACTGTCTATTTCGGATGGCTAAAGTTCCTTCAAAACCTTGAAAGCAACCCCGAAAACAACAGTGGCCGGGGGCAGCACCAGTGCAGCGAACGACAATTTGTTATGCGGAGTATCGTTGCGAGTATCGTTTTATTCAATGTCATGTGACCGAGTCTCAACGATTCATAGCATGCGTAACAAAAGTGAGATTTTATAATCGGCTTTAACATGTGGAAGTATAATGCTGTGTGGCTATGAACGAGTCACAACAAATAACGCTATAAAAAAATATTCACTCACATATTCGAGTAGGAGGGGGTCAGCCACTAATCTCATATGAAACTCTTTGCATCAAAACATAATATCCATTAACATTACTTCTTTACAAAACGTGATATGCGTTCATTTATTGGTGAAGCCCCTTTCACAATTGGCGCCTCACTCGTGCGATAATTTTTTTTTCGAAAATATTTTTTCCGTCCTGTTGTAGAAGTGTTGTCTTTGAGTCGCAAAGCAATATATAAAATCGTACGAGAGGTGAACGACCACTGCACCAGGATACAACAGTCGTGAGACGTAATCGTGCGATTATTTTCATGTTTCCGGGTGCAACAGTCGTACAACGGCTGCAACGGTTGAACGATGATGCGAC